ATTTCTGTTGGACAAAGTCAGTGACATTAAAGCAAAACAGAGTGTTGAGGCATTTAGGATATTGCAGCTGATCTGAGAAATATGTCTGGATCTTTACCTGGTTGCGGACATCTGGAACTGTGAGCCACAGAGGGAATATTATGGGCAGCAGGAAGAGGTAGGTGGCTTGTTTACGTCGTGTGTCAGGCCACTCCAAAGACAGCGGCTTATCCTTTCGCTCTTCTTCTTTTTCTTTATTCTCATCAGCATCTTCATTTTTACTGGAGTGATTGCGCCCTTTATCACTTATAGCATCTTCAGAGTCTCCTGACAGATCTTCCCCTGCAGGCACGTCCTCCTAGGAACAGGCATTGGGTGTGTTGATCATGCTGGGCAATAGTTCAAGCATATGAAAGATAAAAGTAAAGACCAAAGAAGCATAAGGGCCTAGAGGCCAGTTGTGAGTCTGTACATTGGCTCTTATGTAGACAGGTTTAAAAGCTTGACTTGAGCTTTTTGCTAACCAACAGGAAATGGTTGGGGAGTACCTCTTGTGTTTCTGGCTGCTTCTTTTTGTCCTTTGATGCTAGTTTGCTTTGGCTGCCCAGCTTTCATTTCCCAAAGCCTTTGTTAATAACATTTCACTCTTTTGACATGATTAGCATAAAACCTCACAGTAGGTGGGAGTGTTGTGAGGGATGAGTAATGTGGTTTTATGATTAATTTTTCATAGGCTTTCTGTGATGATCATGACAGAATGAGAGACAAATTATGCATGAGTGAACAATTTTCACTTTTGAGTACCTTGCATGTGGGACAAATTATGTGACTGTGTTACTTGATGTGATAAAAGCTAATTTTTCTTGATATTAAACATATTTGGTGCTTTTAAATATTGCTTTAGTATCAAAAACTCTATTTTAAACTCATCAAGTGGAGTAAAATCACAGTATATGTTCTTAAAAGCTACATAGATCTGTGCTAAGTGATATACCGTTGTTGTAACGTGCAAGTATGCAAATATGCTTGGATGTGTTAAATCAAAGCTGGTCGAATGCCTGCAAACTGCAAACTATAACTGCTCTTTAAGGTTTCTCCCACGCTTGAAAAAAAGAAAAACAAATGCTACATTATTGATCTTGTTAGTCACAGAATATGGATACAGGAAAACGTATTAAATCCCTTTGATTTGAGACGAGTACATTTGTCACGGGAATGCTTACCTTTTCAGGTTCCTCCACAGCAACAACAATGTTCTTGTGTTTGTGGAGTTGGGTCTTGAAGGCCTGCTCTATTTGCACATTGAACTTCATGAAAATCACATAGACAGTGTAACTGGTCACCAGCATCATGCTCTCCCACCACATTATGACATTATCCAAGAAGAAGATGATGAGTAAGATGAGGTCAAGTATGTAGAAGGATACGTCTCTGAAAAGTGGCCACCAGGTTAGGTGAAGAACCTCCCGTGAAAACAAAGCACACATTCCAATCACAAACCACAAAATGTTGAAAACTGCTGAACCAGCAATTGTACCAATACCCACGTTGCTGTGGGCGATGGAGGCACCTATCAAGGAGGTGAAAAGTTTGGGGGCGGATCGTCCAGCAGCCATAAAGGTGGCTCCTGCTACATCGTCAGAGATGGCCAACTTGTCTTTGATTACCCACAATGCAGGAACAAAGAACTCATCACACACAATCGCAAGTGAAATGAACATGTACATCATTCCAAAAATGTGGAGGATCACCCAGCCTCGCCTGCGGTCTTCGATAGAAAATAAATCTAAAGGGTATTCGCCCTTAATATGTGGAGCTTCACCAGGAGAGGCTGGAGTGATGGTGGTTACAGGAGGAGCTGGAGCTGGTGTGGGTGTCTCCTGTGGAGGTTCAGGGGCCACATAGATGCAATGCACAAGAGTTCTGTTTGTAGCTGGCAATGGTGGAGATTCAGTGGTGGATGCTTTAAAATCTGAAGTTGTACCTGAGACCTGCATCTCTGGTGTTGTTTGGTCTGTGGGCTCTAACTCATGTGTTGCAGTGAGAGGTTCCTCCAGCCCCTGAGTCTCTACTGTAGTCTCTCCAAAATCCTCTCCAATCTGAGGCATTGGCAAAGGCTCGTACAGTCTGGCACTGGTGGTCAGCTGGTAGAGGGTACACAGGAAAACCCCAGAAAGGAGAAACAGGAGATGCCTTTGCTTCTTTTTTGCACAATTCATTTTGCCCTAAAGAAGCAGTGGTGGCTACGAAAAAAAACAAGATAGCAACTTCAGTAGTGTACTTCATGTCACACCCACTTGGCTCTTTCATCCTAGTGTAATAACAGATAAAATGACAAGTAAGCAACAGCGTGCATACAGACATACATATACATAACCTATGTATATATATGACGTTGATCCTTAAGTCTTTTAAGAGGATTATATGTGCAGTGTCTCATTTTCACACTCAAACTGATCACCAAAGCCTGACAGACGTTTGCAATCTTCATCAAACACACATAATAACCTTACAAACGGGCGACTCTTCCTCACCAGTTTCCACGCAAGTATTAAAAATCCAGGGCTCTGGTCGAATCGCTATATGCCGAAAGCTAATTGTGCGGATTCTCGGACATTTCCCACGCATAACTTTTTACAAAAACAACTTCTCCTGTTTATCACATGCGCGCACATTTAACTAACACAACGCGATTTGAACCGGAACGACTAAATTCAGGATTAATACTTCAAAGATCGAAACACCAGCATGTAATACCCAATGTACCAAAGCTAGACCAATTAATGCTGGAATTAATTAAGTGGCTGCTGATTTCTGCGTACGTTTCAACAAGATCACATAGGAACCATTTGTCTTAAAGCGCACTGTTGTCACCCGGACGGAAGTACAGGTGCACATTACAACACAAACACTGGATGGC